GCAATACCAATAAAAGAGGGAGACAGGAAACATTCCAATGAGGAAGATAAAGGCGTTTGAGGTCAGTGAAGGAGGGAGATGTCTTATGATATTAGTGCTGAACAGCTTCCTCCAATATGGTAGCAGTATTCCTGGTATAATGGGATTATAAAATACCTTATAAAACTTCACCAAGTACTTTTAAAGCCAAGAACTGAAAGCAAAAGTACATTAGACACAAGATGAACCTACGTTTGTTGAAGGCAGACATGGCAATGTATGAATTCAACTTTCAGAATTGAGGATATATGGGGTTAAGATCATCATAACTGTTTGATAAATGGGCCCAAGTACATAGATAGATAACTATGGAAAATATAGAGGGTCTTTTAAAATGTAGCACGGTGGACGAAGCTGCTTTTTCTTTGCTTCAGAAACTAGCTAGCAAACACAATAAGAATCAAAGACCCATCTCTTCCAGAATTCTATGTAACAGCATAAGAAATAGAAACAGGAGTCAGTCATTGAGCTCCTCAAGCCTGTTCTGCCATTCAATACAATCACAGCTGAGTCAACATGTCTCACGTCCACTTTCCTGCCTTCTCCCCATAACCCTGGATTCTCCTGATCAAGAATCCATCTATCTCCACTTTAAAGAAACACAAGGACTCTGTCCCCACAGTTCTCTGTGGCAAGGAGTTCCAAAGACACTCAACCCTCAGAAGGAAAAAAAACACCTTTTCCCAGAGTCTTAAACTGGCATCCCTTTATTTTGGGACAATGCCTTTTGGTCCTAGTCTCTCCGGTTGAGGCAAAACATCCTTTCAGCATTTACCCTATCAAGCTTCTTAAGGGCTTTATGTCTCAATGAGCCCACCTCTCATTCTTCTAAACTCCAGTGAGTAAAGTCCCAACCTGTTTAGCCTTTGCTCACAAGACAATCTTTCTGCACACTGAAAATGTTTTACAGTCCCTACCATCCATGGGGTCAGTAGGAAAACAGACCATAAATTTTCCAAAGTATCCATAAGGATGTCAGGAGTTCAAAACTTCCCACTGACGCTCTAAGAAATGTTCTCTGTGAAAGCTGACAGCAGGCCAAAGCAACAGAGCAGAGGTTACACAGCATCTCATCATGGTCAGTTACCTGGATCTGTAATAAGGAAAATGAATGAGCTGTAGTCCATCATAGCTTTCTCAGAGAATTTAATCAAGCTTTTAATTAAGCCAAAAAATACAATATCTAAGTACACAATGACTACACTAATAGAGGAGCTGCAGGCATAGCAGCATTTGCTGGACTGGTAATCCAAAGACTCAGGCAATCCTGACCCAGGTTGATTCCGGTCATAGCAGATAGCGGAATTGGAATTTTATTTTAAAATCTTGAATTAAAACTCTAATGATGACCATTGCTGATTGGAGCAAAAACCCATCTGGTTCCAATCTGCTATCCTACTTGATCTCATCCATGTGACTCCAGACTCTCAGCACTGCGGTTGCTCACTGAAATGGCCTATTAAGTCACTCAGTTGTGTCAAACTGTGAATAAAATCTCAAAACAAAAAGTAACAAAAAACTGGACTGACCAGCATTGCTGCTGACCGCATCTTATAGGACATAGCAGATAGACTGGGTCTGTGGCCAGTGACGAAGCAAGCACCAAAATAGTAAACATACTTGGTCGCATCCTCACCAATCTGCTGCCATGGGTGCATCTGTCCAAGACAGCATTGGCCAGAGACCAGTCAGCACAGTCCTTGGTGGACACAAAGTCCTGTATTCACTTCAAGGATACTCTCCATTGCCTTGTGTGGCAGTAATACTGTGGTAAATGGAATCGATTCCAAACAGATATAGCAACTAAACTTCTAATTCACAAGACGTTATGGGTTGTCAGCAACAGCAGAACTGTTCTCAAACAATCTACAGTTGCATTGTCTGGCACATTCCCAACTCTGTCACAGCCATTAAGCCAGAGGATCAACCTTGGTTCAAAGAAGAGTGCGGATGGCATGCCAGGAGCAGCAAGCATTAGGTATACCTAAAAATGAACTATCAACCCAGTGACACAACACAACAGGATTCCGTGAATTCCAAAACGGCATAAGCAGCAATTTAATGGACAGGGCTAAGTGATTCCATAAACAATAGATCAGAACTGAGCTCTGCAGTCCTGCCACACCCAATCAACTAAATAACCCACTGGAGACAGCAACTCCCCGTATCCCCATCCACAATGTGATTGGGGAGCACAACACATTAATGTAAAAGGGCTGGAACATTGCAACAATTTCAGCTAGAATGGCTGATATAGGTTAGCCTCCCCCAAAGGTTCCCAGTGTCAGAGATGACTGTCTTCAGCCAATTTGATTCAAACTGCATAATAACAAGAAATAAATGAAGACAGCAGATATGGCAAAGGCTATGGGTCCTGACAACATTCTGGTAATTGTACTGAAGACTTGTGCTCCAGAACTTCCAAGTCTCTACCCACACAGTGTGGAGCTGGAGGAACACAGCAGGTCAGGCACCATCAGAAGAACAAGAAAGCTGACGTTTTGGGTGGGACCCTTCGTCAGCACTGAAGAAGAGTCCCGACCCGGAACGTCGACTTCCCTGTTTTTCTGACGCTGTGTTCCTCTAGCTCCAGTGTACTGACTTGGACTCCAGCATCTGCAGTAATTGCTGTCTCTATGCCTCTACCAAGCTGTTCAATAAAGTTAACACTGGTATCTAGACAATAATAGAATAAAGAACAAAGAAAATTACAGCCCAGGAACAGGTCCTTCGGCCCTCCAAGCCTGCACCGATCCAGATCCTCTATCTAAACCTGTCGCCTATTTTCCAAGGATCTGTATCCCTCTGCTCCCTGCCCATTCATGTATCTGTCCAGATACATCTTAAATGACGCTATGATGCCCGCCCCTACCACTTCCGTTAGCAACGCGTTCCAGGCACCCACCACCCTCTGCATAAAGAACTTTCCACGCATATCTCCCTTAAACTTTTCCCCTCTCGCCTTGAAATATGGAAAATTGCCTTGGTGTGTCCTGCGTGTAAACAGCAGGAAAAATCAAACCCAGCAAACAACACCTCGATCTACTCTCAATCATCAATAAAGTGATGGAAGGCACCATCAACAGTATTATCCAGTAGCACCTGCTTCACAATAACCCACTCATTAATGCTCAGCTTCAGTTATACCAGAGCCACTCAGCTCCTGGACTTATTTTAGCCTTACTTAGAACACAGACTAAAGAACTGAAACCCAGACAGGAAATGACAGCAACTGTCTTTGCCATTAAGGCCATGTCTGACTTAACGTGGCATCAATGAGAACCAGGAGGAAATCTCTCTACTGGTTGGTATCATACCTAGCTCTAACACGACAGTTGAGGTTGTTGGAGGTCAGTCATCTCAGCTCCAGCATATCACTGCAGGAGTTCCATGGGGTGGTGAACTTCGTCCAATCATCTTTAGCTGCTACAACGACCTTCCATTCATTATAATATCAGAAGTGGGGATATTCGCTAACGATTGCAAAGTATTCAGCATCATTCGTAACTCTTCACATACTGAAGCAGTCATGTCCAAATTCAGCAAAACCTGGACAATATCCTGCTTTATACTGTTAAGTGGGAAGTAATATCTGCCACACACATGACAGGCAATGATGATCTTCAACAAGAGAGAATGTAACCATCATCCATCGACGTTCAATAGCAATGCCATCACTGAATCCTGCACTATCAACATTTTGGGGGGAGCCATTAACCAGAAATTGAACTGGACTGGCCATATTAATCATGTGGTTACAAGAGCGGGTCAGAAACTTGAGAAAACCACAGGTAACTCACCTCTTAACCCCACATAGCCGGCCCACCAATTACAAGGTGCAGGGCAGGTGCATGACGGAATACTCCTCACTTGTCCCACGTTGGATAGATGGAATTCCAACAAAACTCAAAAAGCTCGACCACATTTAGGGGGAAACAATGACCTAGCAATATTATTGCGCGACTGTTAATCCAGAGACCCAGATAATGTTCTGGGGACCCAGGTTCGAATCCTGCCACAGCAGACAGTAGAACTTGAATTCAATAAAATGTCTGGAATTGAGAATCTAATGTTGACTGTTAATCCATTGTCGATTGTTGGAAAAACCCATCTGGTTCACTGACGCCCTTTAGGGAAGGAAACTGCCACCCCTACCTGGTCTGGTCTACATGTGAACGCAGACCCACAGCAATGTGGTTGACTCTTAACTGCCCTCTGGGCAATTAGGGATGGACAATAAATGCTGCCTAGCCAGCAGCGCCCTCATCCCGTTAATGAATAAAGAAAAAACCTCCAGGACAAAGCAGCCTGCTTGATCGGTACCACACCCCACAGAGGTTCACTCTCTCAAATACTGACACACCGTAGCAGCAGTGTGAATCATTTACAAAATGCATTGCAGAACTTCACCAAGGCTCCTTAAACAGCATTCTCCAAACCCAAAACCACTATCTTGAAGGACAAAGGCAACAAATACATGAGACACCAGCATAGCATTTTCCTGTTCAAGCCACTCACTTTGAGACTTGGAAATATAATGTCATTCTTTTACAGTCACTGAGTCAAAACCCTGGAATGTCCTCCCTACTACCTACACCAAATGAACTGCAGTAGATCAAGAAAGCGGGTCACTGCACCTAAGTGGCAACAAGGGTTGGATAATAAGTGCTGGCCCAGCCAGCAAAGCTGACTGACTACTCATGGGGAAAAAAAAAAAAGCACATTCCAGACAAATTTTTTTTGAGATAAATGGTGATTAGACAAAATGAACAGTAATTACAATTACATATCCTGCAGAAAAGATATTTCTTGCCTCCTTCACGTTAATAATCTAGCTATGAATCATTTTTCATCATTTATTCCCTAGGTAAACTTTTGAACAACATTTATCCTTCTTTCTTCCACCAACACTTCCTTTTACAGGGCCATGAGATGGAAACAAAGTACACATTAAAACTTACCATATTTGATAAGGCAACTCTGTCCTTTGGAACAATTAGTGTGATGTCAAACGTTGCTTTTATGGCAGGTTCATCCCAACATGGAAATGCTCTCCGTGCATCTGTGGGCTAGAGAGAGAGAGAGAAAGAAAGAAATAATGAACAATGGGTAAATAGGGTGGGTGGGGGTGGAATCAAGAGATGGATTAAAAAAAAAAGAGAACAGGAGGGAAAGAAAAGTAAATTGATTCAAATAGTGCACATTCGTCATATTCTATACATGACACATACATGAGAAACTTTATAAGGATTATCTAAAAGTCCAACTAGATAGTACATGTGTCATTAATACTGTTTGGGTAAAAGTGGGCAATACTTTTTGTCTGTGGAATAATGACATTTGTTTAAAAGCGTAAATCTATGTTAACTAAAGACTAATACTGGCTCAACATCGCAAATCCATCAATCCAAAACTGGAAATTTGCAAAATACAGACTTTTTAAAATCTACTTATTAAGTCAGTTATTAGCTGAATAAAATAACAATTTCAAATGAACCTATTGGACTTTAACCTGGTGTTGTATGACATCTGACTTTGTCTACTCTAGTCCAACACTAGCACCTCCACATCATGGTTACTGGAGCAGTGACACATTAAGTAGTTATCAGCTTCTATGCCCATCTTTCCCTAAACTCCAAGTGATCCTACAACTCTAGACTCATTAAAGCCCCATCCACCAACATGAACAACCCAAGGTGAAAACCAGTAAGATCTGAAATTAGTACAAGTTCAATTCTAAGGTTGTATGTTCTGAAACCTCTACCTGTCTACTTGGTTTGAGACAAAAGCAGAATTCCAAAATCAAATAACTTTAACATTAAACACCTCAAGCTCAATGGAAGCTGTAAAGGATATGGCCTTTGCTGCTCGTTTTTGTTTTCTCCCCCAGCAGATGGAGTTTCTTAAAAGTTCACAAGTGACTTGCAACAGGTTGGTAAAAAACTAGAACCACTCTGTAGCACTTCTCTAACTCCAGAAATTCAATACTAATAAACTGCCACACTTTCAAAATCTAGCCCCAAACCTCAAGTTTGATCAGAAATGTATTAATTATTCAATGGGACTTCACCACACTGAACTTTTATTTTCTAACCTCAAATTGAGACACAGCAGCATAGTGGGTTTCTCCCGATGGTGTTGTATACTTGCTTCTGTAAAATCCCTTCATTTTGTCATTGAGCTCACCGACAAAATCTATCTTCAACATGCCACGACCTGTTACAATACAATGCTATAATTAATGAACAAAAGTTATATTTTGTTAATGTTTACAAATGGACTGTACAGCAAGTTAGCAAACTTAGAGTTGACATAAACGACATTGTTTATTCAGCACTGAGGATATCACTATATCTTCCTGACTAAGATTTTAATACACTTTTTGCATTAACTTTATTGATGCAGATATAAATGTTGGAAATGGAATTAATATGCACAGCACAGCCAAATACATAGTAAAAGATCCTTTTGGTCTGTTCCAATAATGAACCCAAACCCCATCTCAGAAGGGCATCAGTAATTCTCCTCACATCCAACACTAAAAATTACTTTCTTTTGGGTTTCCCTTGGCTGCAAAACTGAACACTTCTTATCGTATGGACCTGTAATTTCAGAGATGAACTGCCCAACAGAAAGTGCAACCAACAGGATGAGAACAGACCAAACCATACCAACAATATGAATTTAAAACTAGGTCAGCCAGGGCATGAATACACCAGCCAGCTTTCAGTAAATATATGAAATGAAAGTGGCTCTCCCCTAAATTGAGCAATACTACAGTATGCTTCATCATCGTATTTTTCCTGTAACTCTCCCAAATTAGAGAAGGCAATGGCCTAGTGGTATTATCGCTGGACTGTTAATCCAGAGACTCCGATAACATTCTGGGAACCCAGGTTCCAATCCCACCAAGGCAGATGGGGGAATGTGAATTTAGTAAAATATCTGGAATTAAGAATCTAATGATGATCACGAATCGAATGTCCATTGTCGGAAAAACCCATCTGGTTCACTAATGTCCTTCAGGGAAGGAAACTAATACCCTTACCTGGTCTGGCCTACATGTGACTCCAGACCAACAGCAATCGGACTGACTCTTAATAGCAATTAGGGATGGACAATAAATGCTGCCTATGCAGCAATGCCCTCATCCCGTTAATGAAATAATGAAAAAAAATTGTCCATACAACAACTGTTGCACTTTACCAACACACTTTCCATTGTGAGGATGCTACGTAAACTGCAAACTTTCTTCCACAATAGTAAAAATAATCGTGGTTATACACTCCAAAAGATGAAACTGTACTCTTTCCACCATAATGTGGTGGAGTCTTCAAATGTGCACTGAAGTAACCCATCAGACCACCTACTTGGCCAATATTACGAGAATAAGGTCGGGCAATAAATTATGACCTTAACAGGAATGCCCACATCCCAAGAATGAATAAAGGAAATAAAGTGTATTAGTGGGACGGAAGTGACTGGCGTCACATTATAATTTACAATTCAAATTAAAAACATAAGTGGTTACACATAATTCCTTCATTTAATCCCCATACCATACCAGAAAGAGTCAAATTTTATTAAATATATTTTTTTAAACTCTTTTTTTCCTCCCTCAACCTCTTTCAGATTACGCTTTGTTTTAGACTTTTTCCCAACTGACTGAGACTTGCTTCAAGAGTCCCACAACTTCAAGTGGCATCCCAGGTGATAGGAGATGTGATACAAGGTGCCAAGCATAAAGTGCACAAGGAGAAATTAATAACCAGAAAGAATTGAGTTATTTGCTTCTCATTCCTGATTTTGTGAAATGTACTAAAGTTTACATCTGACCTTTTGTTCCACCCTTCTTTCAAATATTGACATATCTGTTGTACAATTGCAATAGGTCACCTTTATCTCCAGCATTCAGGGTTTATTCTGTTTTCATCTCTCAATACCACCCCTTTAACCAAAAACTATTTTGAGGGCCCACTGATCTTAATTCCTAACTTGTGACCTTTAATGGGTAAAGCACCTTTCAGCTTCTTGTGGTCAATATTATTTAGCTCTTGTTATTCTTATCAAGAGAGTGGCACACATGACTGCAAAATGCTCTAATAGATCAACTAGTAAGGTCTTTAATTGTAAAATTCACGATAGATGTTGCCATCTTCAATAATCTCATATATAATCAGTTGGAAGGTTTCATTTTCATTCCCTGGAACCCACTTTTCACAAGATAAGTTAGAATTACATAATTCATTTCCTGCCAAGTGACATGACTTAAAACTTTACATGAGCTTTAATAGATAACAAACATCATTTCACAACAATAATACTGGTTCTTTTCCAGCCAAAACAAATGTCATTTTGGATACAAGAAGACAAGTGCCAAAAGTATAAAATGATTCCTGAGCTAGCAACTTCTAAGGGAGTTTTGTTTGCTGTGTAACTTTATCCTTGACCATCCGTTGCCACTCTTTCTTCCCTCGTATCAACCTATCCTCTTCCACTATTTATTTCCTTGGTCTAACTATGGGTACATTTCAGTCCCAAGTATAAGTTAACAATTAGTTTGAAGCTATCTGGGCCCACCGCTCCTTCCATAATGTGACAAATTATCACAAAGATCCACTGCATTTGCTGCCAAGATTGCGTTTTGCCTAGAGATATTATTTCACCAATTGACAACCAAATGAACTGACAATTACAGTTAAAATGACTGATTAACTCAAATTTAGAAACAAATTAATTATGCATACACCTAAAAGTTATTTTTGCTGTAACCCAGAATTTCTTTTTAAAATCAAACAAAATGCAATTAGCCACACAAACAGATTAGGTGTGAGGTCCTTCAATTTTTATTAGTTGATCAAGATATTCTACAGTATACATGGAATGGGCTTGTGCAGGCAATATCCGCGTAATTTAAGAACTAGTCTAATGCCACAATGGGTGGATTTTCCATGCTCAAATAGAAATTAGATACAAGTTCCAAAGCATCACTTCGAGCGATCTATTCACAAAGTCTGAGCCCACATGTTTCCATCCATTGAAGTTAATGTATGGAAAATCATGCTGCAAGGACTCACTACAATTTTCATTCCTGGCTCACAAATGGTCATACATCAGAATTTCTACCCATAAATGAGGAAACCAGAGAGACTGGAAATATCAGAGACGCGAGTTTAACATTTTTTTCTGTAACGTAGGTATGAGAAGTCAACCAACAGGTAGCGCTGACTAAATAATGTTAAAACATATAAGCACATCAAATTGTAATCATAATGTTACAGAGTTACCTTTCTGTAGGGCACTAGGAAATGAGAGTGTTACTTTCTCATCTTCGTTTTGATAATTGAACCCTGTTGCATTTATTTCTGTAGAAAGACAAACATTTATTAAAATGAACAAACTGCAAACGAATAATTATATCTTTATCAACACAAAAACAGAAGTTGCTGGAAAAGCACAGCAGGTCTGGCAGTATCTGCAGAGCTTTTCCAGCAACTTCTGTTTTTGTTCCCGATTTACAGCATAAACGGTTCTTTTGGTTTCAATTATACTTTATATATAACTATATAATCCAGGTTATTTATACGCAAGGGTCTTCTGCCTTACTGTTAAGCAGATTGGTATTTATAGTCAAGGAATCTTTGACAAGCTGGAGGGAGTACACAAATGACTGTTCAGTTTAAAATATGCCATGTCGTTACTTTCAAGAACTGGGACGAAAGAAAAACTTAAGTGCTATCACAGCAATGCACTACCAATTGAAACACGTGCAGCATACGGCCTTGGGACAAATAAGTTGACAGCAGCTATATTTTTGATCACAGCCAGATACCTCTGCCATGCAGTTTACATGAAGTTTCAAAAATATATCTTCATTTCCCTTCTTGCAGTTTTCTCCCCTAATTAATGTTTCTATCCTTCATCACAATACAGTTTCCACAAAGACCTAGAATATCTTGCCAGAATGACCATTATGTTAGTACCAACAGTGAATAATCGGTGAACTGTTTGACTGCGAGCAGCATCGTAAATCAACTTGTTCCTGTCCTCTACCAGGTTGCCACATCCACACTTTGATGGTCGTGAGCAGGAACAAGATCTTTGCCTGATGTTCTTCCGCCTTAACCCAAGAGCACAAAGATTAAACATTTTTTTCTCATCAGTGACTACTTATAATGCAACCTGAGCAGAACAATATGCTCATTTGTTCCTAGTTCCTACTGTAAGTAAAGAATTAATAACATAAATACAAGCAAACATTCATGGTAATTACCGGCAGTTCCTGCTCACATTAAAAGATTTTGAACACAAGTCATCTCTGCATTTACAACAATATGCAAAGTTATTGGAAGACTAGTCCTAGACGACTTATATGCTGTGTTTCTGCAGAAACACTATGGTTGAGAACCTACTCCCTGAACAAAATTCAGGGTAAGGTAAAGTTGCCATTCTACGACTGGACCATAGGGCTGCTCTCTCATTAGACAGACATGATCGGTGGTGGTTTAACCCGAGGGTGACCTTGTCCCGGGTGAGGGGAGAGCTTGAGAATGAGACTCCTTCATGGTAACCTCAGCTGGTGTGTGAAGTGAACCTACAATATTGGTATTGTTCTGCATCACAAGCTAGCCTCCAGCCAACCGATGCCCTGAACAAAAACATCCCCGTTAAACTGTAGCCCAAAATCTAATGCAGGAGGCAACATGCATCCTCAACTAGCAGCAGTGAAATAATCCTGGATCTGAGATTTTAATCTCAAGGCTGCAATGATGTCTTACTGTATTAGCAGCTCTGCAGAAGCACCAGAAATCACAGGGTACGTTCAAATACATTAAAACATGATTGTGAGAGAGAAGTTTTGAAACCTTGTTTCAAAATTGATAGCACTTTCGTCAACTTTTATTTGCATAGCAGCGTTAATTCAAAGAGCTCAAGGTGACGTTTCACAGAGCCAAATGGAAAATGGACAGTGTCAAAGGAGATGTTAAGAAAGGTGACAAAAGCATTAGCTAAGTTTACAGAATTCTAGAGACAGAGCCTATTACGTAATGTAGGGAAAATAGGAAAAGAGATACCTTGAAGTTGGAATGATTCCAAAGTCAGCCATGTGGTTAGCATTTAGCTGGAGACAGGATGCACATGAATTGTCAAAAGAGCACGGTGATAATATTTATTATCCAGATACAGCCTTGAAAGTAGCTGGTTTTTAAAGTAGATAAATCTGGTATAGCTTGATTTCGTTCACTAAAATCTGGGGGTTGAATAGCCATATTCACACAGAATACATCTGTGGCCTGAGTCTTGAAAATGAGAGAAAAATAACCTGGAGGCACATGTGAAGAGGGTGGTGACTGATGATCTGCTAACCAGTCTGTCCCTTCAGTAGGTGTAAGGTGCTACTTAATCAAAAATCACTGGGCAGGACATGCAATTCACGGGTTTGATGTCAGACTCCACAAACAACTGTTCTACTCTGAACTAAGTCGTAACAGAGATCTCCCAGAAGAGCAGAAATGGTTTAGGGATATCCCCAAAACATCTTTGAAGAGAACAAACATCCCTGCCAACTGATGGGAGTCCCTAAGTTTGTGACCAAACAAAATGAAAGTGGTTTACCTGGCAAGACAATAATAAAGGGATACACACAGAGCAAGTTGAAATGTCAGAGAAAACGCACAAATCTAAGTATCTTATCTGCTCCACTTTGAGGTCCACCTGCTGCACAGGTGTAGGGAGTCAACAGATTACTTATTAAGGGTTATCAGATATCTCAGAATCCACAGAACCCAAGCAGAAGCAAGGCATCCAAAGTGTTGAGAGGTGTCCAATTTATATAATATATTCAGGAGTTCTGATTTTAAAATAGAAGCAGCTAGATGTGGGTCTGTTCTGTGAATGCAATTTTTTAAAACGGGTCAGAAAGTCATTTGTTACAGTGACCCAGACATATCAATTCTAAGAAGGCATATGATTTCAATTGACTGTCAGAATCACTGCTGTGTTATTGAATGAAATATTTATATTGCTCAGTTTATAACAGGCCAAAAAGCCATTAATTTTAGCTCTGCATTTAGGTCAGAAGGTTCTTGAGTTCAGATCAGAAAAGAGGAAAGTTTCTCCCCAGCAGGAAAATCAAGCCTTTTATTCATGGGAACCAATCACCCTAGCCAAAGTGTTTTAGCTGATGGAGTTTCCAAGCCAGGAAAGATTTAAATAGGAATCTTACAATTATTAGAATTGAAGATGATTAGGTTTTGAGAAAAGTTTTGTGGAAGGCTCATGACAATAGAATTGGAAAGGAATCGCAAAATGTCTCTACAGTCCAAGGCAAAGAACCTCAGAGGAGCCAGTTTAATAAAAACTTCAAGAGTACAGACAGGAGTCAGATGTGTCTGGGACTGATGTCTGGAAAAAGATATGGCTGGGAAAGAGGTTGAAACTCTGATTTTGCTGTCATGCCAAGATCTTTCCAGCTCTCTTTTGTAATATGCAACTTCTTTTCTCTCTTGTCAAATAGTCTAGTTTGCTGTTAAAGAATATCTGCAGCCCCGTGCATAAGTTTCAGTGACTAACCATAAAGGCAACCAACTGCAATCATTAAATATATAATATCAAGACAGGTTTCTTTCTGGGATCTGACTTGCTCCAGCGCTATTATCAGATGGGAACAAAACACAAGGGCCTGCCCAAGAACAACAGTACTGGACAGTACCAATGGGGAGGAAAATAGAACAACTGAAGTTATAGGTGTCTCCACAAGTAAGTGCTTCAAACTGCTTTTCAGGGAATGGAGACACAGTATGAAGCCCAGCCTATCAGCTGACAAACAAACATACACAAATTAATATTACTTCAGAGACAGTTGAGGAGAGAGATTCAGTTGAGGAGTGAATTATTCAGCAGAGGTTGTATCACAGAATCAGATAGTTAAGGAGAGTTGACAATGCGCTAGTAGATGTTGCTCCTCGATCTGTGGTGTAACATTAACATTGTACATTGCTGCATCTGTTAGAAGTAAAGCATATATAGACAGGATTCAATAAAGAAGAGGCAGCTGGAAGAACTTAAGGTGAAAAGCAACATACGCCTTGATTTATACTTAAAAATAAAGAAATTACTTGCTTTCAGTGCGAAGGTCCTTCAACTTTTGTACAACAGCTCACACACAGTAATGGTGTGGAAGTGCCAGGAACACTACAGATGACTACCTGGTGATTTGACCAAAGAACACACCCATCAACTGAACAGACTAGTCAAGACTTTTGATCCAGTCCTTCAGAGTACCCTTCCCACGTACTTCCCATGTAGGGGACTTCTACTGCCTTCCAAAGATATACAAAGCCAACACACCTGGACATCCCATTACATCAGGCAATGGGACCCTGTGAGGGAACCTCTCTGGCTAGGCCGAGGGCATCTTAAAACCCTTGTACAGGGAACTCCCACCTTCTGTAGTGACATTACAGATTCCTTGCAGAAACTCGGCACCCATGGACCATTAAACTAGGAACATATCTCATCACAATGGACGTTTCGGCACTCGACACCATCAACCCCCATGACAGCATTGCTGCAACAGCCTCAGTACTCAATACCACCAACTGCCAATTTCCAGATGCCATCCTACAACTCATCTGCTTCATCCTCGACCATAAATGTCTTTTCCTGCGACAACTAGTTCTTTATCCAGACACACGGAACTGCCATGGGGACCAGATTTGCTCCCCAATATGTCAACATTTTCGTGTAAAGGTTCGAACAAGACTTCTTTGCTGCACGGAACATCTGACCAAAGCTATACGCAAGATACATTGACGACATTTTCTCCCTTTGGACTCATGGCGAGGAATCACTGAAACAACTACATTGCGATATCAACAAGTTTCATCCCACGATCAAACTTACCATGGACTACTCTTTAGAATCAGTCTCATTCTTGGACACATGCATTTCCATCAGGGATGGACAACTCAGTACCTCACTCTACATCAAGCCTACAGATAACCTCACGATGCTGAGTTTCTCTAGCTCATATTAAAACAGCCATTCCCTACAGACAAGCCCTACACATATACTGAATCTGTCGGATGAGGAGGAACAAAACGGACACCTGAAGGTGTTGAAGGATGCCCTCATAGGAGCAGGATACGATGCTTAACTCATCAACCGCGAGTTCCAATGGGCTACAGCGAAAAACCATAACGGCCTCCTCAGAAGACAGACAGGGGATATGTCCAATAGGGTGCCCCTCAGCATCCAGTGCTTTCTGGGAGCAGAGAAACTATGCCATCTTCTTTGCAGCTTTCAACACATTATCGATGACGATGAGCACCTGGCCAAGCTCTTCCCCACACCTCCACTTCTC